CCATCCCATACCCATCACCTTGAGGCTATTTGGATTCACAACAACTTCCCCACTCCACTCACCCATAACTAGATTACCAAAAAGAAAAAAAAAAAAAAAAACTTACTGCCCCCTTGAGTCGATTCTGACTCACAGCAACCCCAACTGGGTTTCAAGGTTGTAAATCTTTACTGATTGCCCCATCTACCTTCCATAGAAATGCTGGTGGATGTGAACCACTGACTTTCCGGTAAGCAGACAAATGCCTTATCCACTATCCCACCAGAGCTCCTTTTGACTAGATGAGGGCCACGGTATGTGAAGATCCCACCCTATCCCACCCCACATCTGAATTAGGGCCACACTATCTGCCTGTCACATAGTACAACTCAGGAAACAGCTGATGAATAAATAGGAACTCACACTTTGTATGCATTACAATTGGTACATATATCATCTTGTATGATTCTTAAAACAATCTGACATGGTTGGCTGAACATGAGTTATTTCCATTCCAAATGAGGAAATCGCCAGAGGAAGCTTACGTGACTTTCTCCAGGTTATGTGGCTCATTGGAGGCAAAGGGGGGGCTCCCTACAATACTTCACAGGCTCATCCCCCACATTCAAGAAAGACACACACACAGGAAAAAGAAAACAACAACAACAACAAAAACAGTTGCTACAGAGTCAATTCCGACTCTGGTATGTTAGAGTAGACCTGTGCTCCACAGGGTTTCCAATGGTTGATTTTTTGGAAGTAGATCAATAGGCTTTTCTTCCAAAGTGTCTCTGGATGGCCTCAAACTTCTAGCCTTTTGGTTAGCAGCCAAGTGCGTTAACATATGCACCACCCAGTAGGAATCAGGGGTCATTCCCAGAGACCCCCACCTTACCTCTACCATCCCCAAGGACCCTGGCATGTCACCATCATAAATTTAGGACACATCCTACACCAGGCTGCCTTGATCACTTTTGGAGAGGAATTGGCCACACCACCACCAGAGCTCCTTTGGAGAAAACAATTTCACTGAATTCCTGGCAGATACTAAAATCACTTTGGTCTCTATACCAAAAAAAAAAAAACAAACTCACTGCCGTCAAGTCGATCCCAACTCATAGTGACCCCTCCTTGGTTTGCCCAATCTTCCTTACAAGGAGTGGCTGGTGGGTTTGAACCACCAGCCTTCATGGCTGGCAGTCAAATGCCTTAGGTACTATTGTGAGAGCGTGAGATTATGTTTCTATATAACCACCCTGTATGCAACCATTTTTAGTAAGTAGCCATTTGTGCAAAAAGCCTCAGCAGGTACTTCACACTTTAGTGCTTTAGTTACTGGAAAAACCACAGAGTCCTAACTACCTCATAGACAAAGGGTCCTAACTACCTCATCTATACTCCCAAGCATTCTCCTTAGCAACAACCAGTCAGTAGATGGCACAGAAATACCTTACCTAAAATAGTTAAGAAATGGCAGTTAGTGGCTTCAGCCCACTAGACAGAGCCAATTAGGTAGAAACAACTAACAACTTGAAAATGTCAACCAATCCTGTAATTTTCTGATTGAAACTTCCTTGTTTCTGTTGAGACCCCTATAAAGACCCCATTACCCCTGAGTTTGGGGCTCTCAATCCTGAACCGCTGCGTCAGTGACGGTTGGGGGTCTGAGCTCGAGCTTGAATAAACAACCCCTATAACAACAAATGCTTTTGCAGTGGAATCAGCTCCTTGGTGGTTTTTTGGGAATTCTTAATCTGGGCACAACAGATGCCACCAGAGCTCCTAGCCCTGTAAAAGTCACTGAGCTCTATTCCTCAGTGGCCTGATTTTAAAATATTATAATCATTTTTAGAGGGAGAAAA